AGTCTGTGTGAAGGATTTAGTTGCATCTAGAAAACTAAAGTGGCCGCAAAATGCGTGAATGGCCCGACAATTGGTTTGTCCCTTCTGGGCTACTGTAGAAACGTAGTGGTTCAACATGGTGGACCATGGTAGACAAAAACAGCTCATTGTAAGGCAACAAAAAAACGTATTTTCAGGTCATTATACCCTAATGAAAACATACCTATGAATATTATATTCCATTTTTGCCATTAGATCCTCTTAAATGTTACACACTGGACCTTTAAATGCAACTTTGAGAGAGTTAAGAGCAGTGGAAATTCTAAATTGGACAACCTCAAAGGCAAAATTTTAGAAATTAGGTTTAATTCTGAATGTTTTAGCAGGAGCCTTCTTTTCAAAGTCAGTGCGAGTTATAGCGAATTAATCAACTATACGTCCTGGGAAAGAAGGTTGCATGTTGGGCTTTATGAAAAATGGAAGTACAATGAGAAGTGAGAGGGCAACAAACCACCAATAATAGCCTTATAAATAAAAGTAAACCAATGAAGTAATCTCTGAGTGGTCAAAGAGGGCCACTTCATCTCAGCATACAGCAGTACAGTGGTGATGTAGTGCTCTGCAGCCAGTAATAAGCCTCAGTGCATCATGATATACAGTGCCCAACAAATGCAACAAGGTGGCACAAGCATTAATATGCCACCTCGCTGCATTTGTCCATGTCAGTTTGCAAAAAAACCCACCAGAAATTCCCCCTCTGTCTCCTACTCTTTTATAAGACGTGTAAGTTTGCTACTATATTCCACCTTTAACTGTTCTTGCAGTCACAGCTGGAAGCTTCTTGGTGAAGGAGGTGAGAGTTTTCAGTAACTTCCTACCCACTTCCTTAACTTAATGGAAATTACAGAGGGATGGCGTAGGCGTCGAGAGCAAAGACAGGAGACGAACGTGAGGTGAATTTGCGAGGAAGTGAGTGACACCCCTGCCTATTAGCATGCAAATTGTACGGTAAATGTAATAATTGGCAAGACCAATTTAGCTGGAGGCAATTACAGAGGGAAGACAGATAATTTCTGGGGCTTTTCCGCACGCAGAATTGTCTTTAATGGTGCTCTGTTCCCTTTATGAAGGCCAAACAATAATGCACTTGTACTAAACTTAAAATGTAATAACTTAGGGAGAGAAAAGGTGACATGGTGCCAGAGAGGTTGGCTCATTAAAGCGTCCACAGCCGGAATTGTGTCATGGACAAAAAAAATAGCTGGAGGCAGAAGTGCACCTTTAAGACATCTGAAGGTAGTTAGCCGGAGTGTTACACCTACGTACACTGCAGCGTTAGGCTGAAAGTATGTGGACACCCCTGTCTACCTATGTTCCTTTTGGTGTGGGCCTGTTTTTCATGGTTTTCAATTAAAAGGAATCCTACTGCAACAACATAAAATTATATCTTAGACAATAAACAGTTTGTTTCTGCCCCTTCATGTTCCAACACCCATTAGTGTCCATGCTGGACCTCACTAATCATCATTTGGCTGAATGGGAGCAAGTCCCTGCAGTCAGGTTCCAAAACCTGTTGTAAAACCTTTACATATGGGTGTAAAATACTTCCATGTCATCCATGTATTTTGTTTAGGTGTCCACATACTTTTTGGCAGGCAGCGCATATATTAAACAAAAAACAACCTGTTTTTGCTTTTTTCTATCCTGCCAGGAATACATTTCTGAGAGACTCGCTTAATAGCTATTTTCTTTACATTTTCGCAAAGGTCAGGTGTGAAAGTACAGTATTGAATGAAAATATCAGCTCTTGGGAGCTTCAAAAGCTCATACTGGACAAAACTCAAATCAAAATTTAACTCATAAGTGACCGTTTTGTGACTGAAATGACAAAATGTCCCTTGTCCAACCCAGAGTGTTAAGGCCTAGGAAATGGAGGAATATCGATCGGGAAAGACTTCGAAAGAAATAACAAAATGTCCCATCTGATCCAGCAGTGGTTGGGTCCATGGAATTAAAAGAGAAAGACCAGGAGGGACAGAGAAGGAGAAACAAATTGACACTGAGAAATCAAGAAAGACAAGAAAGAGAGAGAAAGATAAGAAGTGATGGTAAAAGCCGGTGAGAGGTGAAGGTGAAAAGATGCAGGAGAGAAAGAAAGAAAGACACACACTTGACATCTCTTTCTTTTTTCTCTTTCCCTCTCTGTCTCCTATTTGAGTCTCTGTGGACACACAATGCTTCCTGACATCTCCAGACATCAAGTGTCTCCAGAATGAAACCCCGCCATTAATGCCACTACGAGCATGTGTGTGTGTGTGTGTGTCACAGAGGACAACTGTCTTTCTCTCATACACACACACATACACACACTCCGCCTTAATAAGGAACAAAAGTGGAGGATGTGACAAGTGCAATTATCCCTGTTATTTGTTTTTTGTCTTTTCTTTGGAAGGAATGAAAGTGTGTGTGTGTGTGT